TTTTAGTACCAAACTTGACTGATACTGTTGGGGATGACAGTAAAAATAAAACATGCAGTGATATCCTGCAGTTCTCTCCTAGACTGTCTTTTAGCAAACTCAGTAAGAAAATGACTGTGTCATTTCAGAGCACAGAAAAGCTCAAAGTAAATGTCAAAAAAGAAAAAAAAAAAAAAAAAAGGCTTCCTGACATTTTGACAGAACTGCTTAATTGACAGTTGTATTCACTGAAATGGAAAAACAACTGGAACAAAGAGAAATAAAGATCAAACACTAAATTGTAGGTCAGTTTACACGTAACAAAATTAAAAACAAATAGAGCAAACAATCCCCTCCCCCTGCAACTTACCAGTCATTAACACATACGAAATTATTAGCACAGCTTGGCTTGTTCTTCTCATCTGTGTTAACATTTGTAATTGCTGTTACCAGGTAAAGACAGTAAATTCAAACGCCTTGCTTTCTATTTTCTGTGAAGAAGCACAAGTGAGATCCTGCTGCTCTGCAACAGTTTATGAGAATAGCTTCAGCGTGCTCTTTATAAAGGCTCTTCTCGAGGTGGAGTGGGAAATCCCTGGACGGGGAAATCCAGAGGCGGGAGGAAGAGCTCCGTCCATCCGTCTGTCACCGTCTGGGCTCGGCGCCCTCTGCTGCTGCTGCTGCTGCGGACAGAAGTCAAAGACCAGAGAGAAGAAACAGGACAGCGTGTCACCGAGCGCCTGCTAGACCTCCACAGAGCCAGTCAAGATCTGAGCCAGCAAACAACTGCTAAAATGAAAGAATGTGGCTAATTCCAAGTCATGGAATGGCACTATATCTCAGATGGAAAAGTTACCCAAGTTCGTTTTCAGTGCAAACACTTTTGAGTGGCTGAGTCTTGAGAATACTTCTAAGGATGCCCAATTCTGTAAATAACTTCACCTAACTCAGCATTCCCTTTGAAAACTGCACTGCCAGTTTAAGAGGTGATGTTACTCACGTTCCAAAGTATTTCTGATCCCTGAGAATGAAGAAATAAGTCAGATAACAGAAGCCTGGAGATCCAACTTGGTCAGCTTGAATCAGGCTCACCCTGTTCAGATGAACTGAATGAACTAATTTTCCCAATTCCACTATAAAAATGACTCCAAAATATCCCTCTTTCAAGACGCTACTGGTACACATTACTGATATGGCTCTCAGATTGCTTATGTCCTGTTTATGTATAACTGAAGTACAGCAGCTGATAACACAACTCTGGGATTATTTTCAGCATTTGCTTTCCAGTGGGTATATGAATCCAGTTTGGAATATTTCTGAGGACAACTATTACTGGCTAACATAGCAACAACGTTATGAAAAAAGTAAAATATTTTCAGTGTTTAATTTTCAGTTTCAACACTATGAATACAAAGAATGGATAAAGGTTTCCCAATCTCAATTGTTTATTTATTCAAAGACTTGAGGAGTTCATATTGGTCAATAATGAATCACTAAGTAAAAGCAGCAGGAAATTCAAAACAAAACATATACATTTTTTAAATGTCTCTGGCAAATCATTTGGTATGTAATAGTTCGGTCATTTGATGTCTACAAAATATTGTTATCATATAGTGTATTTTATAAACAGTACAGATTCAAATATCTAGTAAATGAGTAATAACTTGGAAAAGACTATAAAACAGGGAAATCCAAAGCACCTAGCAAAGCCTAACCAAAAGTCACTAAAGCTGAAATTCACTGTAACTGCCACAGTGGATTCTCCCCTAATATTTATTTTTTTTTTCTCATTATTCCTGTTTTTATTAAAGGACGAGGAGAAAGAATCTTTTAAGTCTCAGGAAATGCAAGCAGAGTACTGTTCTGGAAGTACTGTTAGCAAATCTAGAAATCCAAAATCTATCTAGAGTAGGTAACAACATCTACATAATATGATTTTACTTCACAGAAAAGACTTTTGTTGAAGAAAAGTGTATTCTCATAGTTAAGTGGAAAATAAACACTTTTTAATCATAGGCAGAGAGAAGCAAGAAATGAAACTCTACTGCTTTGACTGCTTAAATAATCATAGGCTAAGCTGAAAGAGAAAAGTCAAAATTTCCCTATTTCTGGGAAATCAGTTTCTAGACACAAAAAGATACAAACATAGGAGGCCATGTCCACATACTGGAAAAAGTGTAATCAAGTCCTTCATCAGATAACATAGGAATAGGAAATAACTCTGATCCAGCTCTTAGTAACTGAACTGGACAGCTGCCATTAACTTTACTGGAGCTGGATCCTTACCAGCGGGACTACTACACTGAGTGATCAGACAAATTTAACTCAGACAGCATACGTAAGAGCACGGTTAGCCAACAAATATTATTAAAGGAAGTACAGATCTGCCAAGAAATTAAAAAATTTCTTAAAACTTGCTCTTTACCCAGTATCAAATGTGAGCCTTTCATGTATTTTAAAAGAATACGTACTTTACTGTTGCTCCTACTATCCTCAGCATCAACCTGCAAATAGGAAAATGGGTATCAAGTTTGCTTATTTTCAGAACTGGCTGTTCTGTCTGAAAAAAAAATAGAGATCAGCTGACAAGTTTTAGCAGTTGACCTCAAGAGTTCAGATAATCTATCTTTTTATCCAAATGGCACAGAGGAGGACGCTGGGGATAAAAACAGAGGATGCATCTAGATTCACTTCATCTAGAGATCAAGTATTATAGGACCAACTGGAAGAAATTCTGACACACGCAGAGCATAATGAAGACTGGAATGTAAAAAAGTATTATGAAAATATTACTAAAGGCAAAACAGACTAAAGTAATTAAGCACTGGGATGTAAATATATGTTTTCCAATATATCTAGTAATCAAAAGTTAATTTTCTCAGGCTTTGAGGGACAAACAAAGATAAAGCAATTGTGTGTCTCAGATGGGAATTTGGAAATACTGAACAAAGAATTTTTGGCTTGCCATCAGAAAATACAAATGTCCTTCAGGAAACTGAAACTTACTTCAGACTTTTCTGAAATGTAAGAAAACAAAACAATTTCAGAACTGTGTTAAGCATTTGCTTTAACTTATACTTCTACAACCCTGCTGATATTTATATGATGAACTTAAATTAATTTTCTCTAGACAAAAGAGATCGGAAGCTCTTGATATGTTAATGAATTATTTGAGCAAAATGCATATTATGCAACGTGTTAGTTATCCAACATTTCTAACCCTCCTCCTGAATGTACTGCACTGTCTCATGGAGGCTATTAGAAGAAAGCTGAAAGGCTAAAACCTCATATAAAATCTGGTCTTTTAAAACCTTCACCACTGGTTTTGTAATTTATGGCCAAGGACCTATGCAGAAGAAGGCTAATCCTTCTCTTCTGGCAAAGAGATTTTTTTTTTTTTTTTTTTAAAAAAGGTAGAAGGAAACTCATCTAATTCAAACTTCTGTTTCCTGTGTCAGCAATAAAATGCTTCATGGCATTTCATCCCAATATCTGCATCTAGAGCCACCATTTCGGCTCGCTGTTAAAAATACCCAGTGCTGGAATAACAGCTTCTATATAGGGCCCCAACACAGAAACATATGTAACATGTCTGTTACTAAGCATCTTTGTGTCACATCAGCTTGAGAAGGTAGAATCCTTCTGTGTAAGGCATGTACATGGTCTACCTTTAATATGGTCATACCTGATCAAGTAACTGAAAAAATATGAACCTGGAGGACATGTATGAATACTGCTGACCATATGGCTTATACAGCAAATAATGATGTGCTAGCCTCAAAATGTTCAGTTCCCAGCAACCTGAACAGCCTGCTATACAGGCTATATACCGTCTTTCCTTCCTCAGTGGTTCCCAGAGCTTCCCTGACCCTTTGCTTTCGCTAACTCCCTCCACCTTCTTTCTCATCACCTGACAATACAACTTCTGTATAGCCCCCAAGAGGGGGAGGAGAGCACCACTAATGCCCTATAATTTTCTTCTCCAGATGGGAAGGATGAGATTTACAGGTAGATCTATTTAAAGGGTTGTGTCTGTTTCAGGAATTGGAACTTTGTTCCTAGCTACAAAAAGAACACCAACGCATTACCCTGTAACCCACATCACACCTTACAATTGTACTCCACATCTAACTTGTCATCTATTGAAAAAAGGGAAAAAAGAAACAACTTAAGAAAGTTTCATCATCTGCTTCTTTCCCTTCTCTGGAATTTCTGAAATACTGTATATAAAAATAAATGCATCTACTTCCTTCATTATCTTTCACAGGCATCAGCTCCCAGCTATGACACTTCCTGTTTGCTTAGTCTGAAGGGATCCAGAATCCACGGAAGGTACCAGATAAAATAATAAAGAAGTATGATAACTTGCATAGGCTACAAAATAGCTAATTTCTTATTTTCTTCTATTCAGAGGCATTGTCCATTTCACTTCATAGAAGGAACAAGAAGTTACTCTAAAAAATAAATAGAAGCCACTAGATAAAAAAGTCCCTACTTTTTATCTTAGTTTCTTGCTGCTGGCAAAAAACAAGCTGTGGAAATTCCAAATCTTATTTCTAAAAAAAAGAAAGTATGATTTTAGTGGTGCTGGATCTAAAAACGAAACTGTTGAATAGCCTTTAAATCCACGTACTCAGAGTGCCAAGTACTGTACTGTAAGTCAAACTTTGTTAGTTAGAGTAGCTGAGCTTCTATTGTCTTGATAGGACATATGTAAAAAAAGCTTCCCTTTTGAAAAATTCTCCAGTGTATATCAAGAGCTAAATTCAAATACAAGCCTCGGAGTATTCAAAATCTCTTCAGGAATTTTGAAGTGAGAGACCAGATCTACTTTTATTTTGAGCCAAATATACTGAGACATGTCAAAGTCTTTTGTTCTCACTGGAATTACAGCTTTTCAGACAAAACTCATTCAATATGGTCAGAGTAAAAAAAAAAACCCAAAGTGGGATTTGGGTCAAAGTGCAGATGCTGGCTAGGACCTGGCATATGGCAAGATAAAGTCAGCTGAAAATGTTTAACAAGGAATATGACCAAGTTACTTAATTCCCTCAACACTCTCCTTGAAATTCCAATACCACTAAATATCATGTACCCCATTGAGGCCAGCATTTCACACAGTCAGATGAAGGTAATCAAGGAAACGGTGGAGAACTTTTCAACTAAGCTTTATTACTACTCACCAGTAGCTGCTCTCCAAGGCCCTTGTAGATTGTTGAATATGGGAAAATGGAGATCAGTCACTCCTCTATTTCCCATCTCCTTTCTGCTCTTCAGGCATGAGGTACACGTATGCCCCTATGGACCCAGAAAGACAAAGGAGAATGATGAGAGCAAAGTCTGTAATGGACCATTCCAGCTGGAACAAACGCAGAACTTGGATTCTTCTAGACAGGCTACTGCTAACTGCACTGCTACTAAATGATCAGAGGGCTGGAACACCTCTTCTATGAAGAAAAGCTGAGAGAGTTGGGGTTGTTCAGCCTGGAGAAGAGAACGGTTTGGTTATTGTGGCCTTTCAACACTTGAA